AAWAWTWYTTAAGAGAAAAGAAAATCACTTTTAAGAACTKCCTACCATATTAGCAGTAGCAGCAAAGATACACGAGCATAAAGTATATCATAGATACAAAAAAATTACTGTTTTGAAATGCCAWGTTGTTTTGCCACTTCTGGGGCGAAAACTTTGTCACAACCTCACAAGCGGATTTGAGGCAGAAAGAAAAGAGAGATGTGGGAGAGAAAACTTGAAGCTTATGATTTTCAGACAAGGGAAATAATAAACATTTTGCTTTTTTTCCCCTCCCCCTTGCAAAACATCAAACCTGAAACCACACTGGTCACTATTAAAGTGAAAACAAAATGCCAACTAGAAATAATGCAAACTAGAAGATTAATTCCTAATTCCTAGCCAGCTTCAAATGTGAAATTCCAGTTTTCCCCCAGTACGCAGACTTGGCATAGCTATGTAATTTTTTTTTAATTTCATTGATCACTTAACCTGCTTTTATTGGTCTCTCAAAAGGCACAAAAAACAGTAAGAATCATGTTAAAGGAATAATAAGTCCATCTGCTCCCAAGCACTAATAAGAAAATATGATATGAAATAGCTCTACACAACATATGGAATTTAGCTAAAAAATCCCAGTGCTTAATAAATCCCATCTATCCAAGTAAMTATTACAAAAATCCATTATACCAGAGATTTAATGTTAAAATATCACAGTTTCCGAGACTAAGCTATTACTAAATATTGGTGCTTGTTCCACAAGGGTACAGGTCATTTAAGAACATGGACTTAAATATCAGTATTCCTAAATCAGCCAAGGGATTTGGCTAATCCAATTTCAAAACCTCTGACAAGCAGCTAGGAAAGGTGCCCTTTCTCTGGGACATCTAAGAGACGATGCAGATTTAGGGCTAAAATGTCCTGAAAGTGTAAAAGTGCTAAAAATGAAAGAAATCAAATCGATCACAAATCAGATTTACCCAAATTCAGCCGGTAGAGGGCACTGCCCCAACTGCTCAAGCCGGATTTACAATGGTTATTGCACGKATAATTTAAAACACTTAAAATTACTTGGCTCGGACATCTACTTCAAATAAAGTATTAGACYGTAAAACACACATCGGTATCTGAACAATTGCAGCCACCCCAACACTCATTTTCATTCCACCCCCTGCCCTGCCATCTGCTATGCTCAGATGTAAGTAATAAAATACTCAAGCAGGCCCTAAAACCTGACATTTTCTAACCAGGTTATTTGTTGAATCACTAGGTTCATTCCACCAAAAACAGCAGCAAAATTAACATTGTAAAGGCACCTGTGAATAAGTAATTAGTGTGTTTTTGCTCTGCTCAACCAAGTCTTCACAACAGGAGAATTTTATAAGTGTGGAGTTTGATTCTGTTAATCACRGGAAATATTTAGAATTATTCAGTAGCTGTGTAGTTATGGAATCCACCACGGACAACAAACACCAAAGTACTTCTCTGTTTACCCCAAAATATTTAGCTTGATTATCTGCATGGAAAAGGGAGTATTTTGCTGTATCACAATGAAAGAAACAGCAGTAAGTGGCAAACAACAGCAGTGACACTACTGAACCATCCTATTCAGCAATGAAGGCAATTTTAGCCTTATTTCCTCATRCTGCCTAAAACCCACTCCACAGCTACTGTTCTTTGATCAGCACCACAACTGCACCTACACAGGGAACACCAGCACACAACCCTTCCCAACAAGCAGAATTCTGCCCAACTGAACGAACTGGAGCATTTAAACCCAATGATTTTTTTGTTTGCCACTCCAAATCACAGCCTGCCCTTGCCATAACTGAATTATTGCCCACCCACATGTGAGCATACACAAGGCAAATTACCTCAAGTAGGAAGATAGAATTTCCCTCCTCAAGGTCTCAGAATTTACAAGATAAGAACAGGAACTAGTAGACAAGAACTTGCAAGAGTAGCAGAAATTAATACTGCTGCATGTAACAAACTGTGAATGCTAGTAAAACCTATTAGGTTGCTTAATAATCCATTAATTCGGTGTCTTTCTTTCAAAAGAACACATGAATTCTGGACCACATCACTGAACGACTACCCCAACCCTGGAAAAGTTCAAGGCCAGGCTGAATGAGGCTCTCAGCAATCTGGGATAGTGGAAGGTGTCCCTGCCCACAGCAGAGGGCTGGAAAAAGATGATTTCAAGGTCCCTTCCAACCCAGCCCATCCTATGATTCCATGAACAGACACCGTCCTGGGATTTTTAGGCTGATTCTCTAAGGAGCTCTGTTTCCATTTTATTATTTTATGTTAAATTTTTTTTTGCTACTCTGCAAAACACTCAGATGGTTACACAGCAAAATCCCTCAACTGGTCCAGGAACATTGGCCTTTAAGTTTGTGTGTTTCTAAATTGTTTACACAATAACAACTTAAAAAGATGGAASCTGCACAGCACATACTGCAGTGCCTAAACACACCTCTAACTTAAGAGAAACCCAGCTAATGACGAACAATCTTCGAAGACCAACAACCTCTGAAGTTCCTTTTGCAAGTAAAATCCCATATGGCTTGTTCCTCTCAGTAAGTTTTGTGTGATTTGCAGTTTTAAGGAGTTTTTGGGGTTGTTGTTAAGACTTCATATCACAGTGTAAAACACACTTTCCTGCACTAGTCACAAAATCACCTGAAAGCAAGATGTTACTTGACCATACAAGAGAGAGACAAGACACACACACACACACACACACACACACACGAAACAGGTTCAAGTTAACACATCTCTGTTTGGGCTCAGGCCCTCACTAAATTTCTGTCACCTCAGGGCACCAGCTCCTCTTGCTTGTGTCTCCCTGAAAATCACTACCTACACACTTCCCAACTCTCCATTTCAAGCCCAAATTTAAACCCTTGTGATTCCTTCAAGTGAGCCTGGAAGTGCCTCACTGGATAAACATATAAATGAAGTCATGAGATGCAGAGCTTCAGTGCTGGGAACATAAAAACCTGGAGTAAATTATGGTGTCATTYCTCCTTTTATAGAGTCTGAGGTTATTAAATGCAATGATCCACAGGAGATTTTAGACAACACTAGTATTTTCCTTATATTTAAAAGGCAGAGCTTTCCTTTTCATTAAAAACAACRTAACTTTGAAAGTTTGAACACAATTCAAACTCTGATGTACTGAGACATGTATTTCTAAGAATCCACTATAGAAGTTACCTTATAACATTTTGTCTAGATAGGRAAACACTCACTGGTGTGTTTAAAAAATAAAAGAAAAAAATAAAATAAAACAGGCTCCAATTTTTGCTTCATTCACTGTAACATTCTAGGACACATTCCTCACTGTGTCAAACAGATCACAGTGATAGGAGCTGAGAAAGACTGGCACATACATTTCACAACCACTAATTTTCCTTCTTATCAAAGAAAAAATATCAAAGTTAAGAGGTTGCACAAAGCCATGAAGAGTTTCACCGAGCATTTGCAAGTGAGTTTGCAAATACTTTGTCATGCAGATCCTAAGCACATGCGTCCAAACTGCCCAAGGATACATGGCAATTAACATCACGCTTTTAATTGATCCAAATTGGTATTTTTTTACTGCAGCTATTGTTCTACAGCCAGATCAAGAAGCACAGCGATTTCTTCTCCAATGCTGGTCCAATACAGACCATTATCCCTGAGCTCTTTTTACTATAAAGTCTTGTCSTTGTGGTAATGTCCAAAAGCAAACAGGTACCATTATTAACTGATAATCTCCCCTCACAAAAAGTAGGAGATTAAAGTGTTTACCTCTATTGTGGGGTCATATTCATCCACAAAGTGATTCTGGATTAGCTGTATTGTCAAGGCGCTCTTGCCTACACCACCAGCTCCAACCACCACAAGTTTATACTCTGTCATTTTTTAGCAGACCTGATGACAAAGAAACCAACATTAAGCAGAGCTGGGCTCCCACTAACGAGGATGCTGCCGGTGCCTTCTCATTCAGCGTCAGGATTCTTTACTACTACCGGGAAGCAGCTCCCTCCCTGCAAGACAAGACAAAAAGGGATGAGGGAATGCTGCTCCTCAAATATTACACACACAGGGAATGTAGCGCGGGCACTCGGCCGAGAGGCAGCGGTCACACAGAGATTTAAAGAACACGAAATAAGTTAAAAAAAAAAAAAATAAATCCACTGAATAAATGAAAAAGGCRTCAAATTCCGAGAAAGGCCAAAAGAACATTTCGTGCAGGGAATTAATCCGTGCAGGGATTTAGTTCCCCACTGCTTCCTCCCGGTGCCTCCCGGAGCCCGCCCGGTTTCCCGGAGCGTCCCAGCGCCCATCGGGATGAAGCTCAGAGCCGGGAATGCGCCTCCCGTACCCGGACAGGAGGCAAGGTGAGCACAGCTTCCCCCAGCKGCTTCCCCTACACAGTTGAGGGTAGGTTTTATTAATTTTTAATTGCCGATAGAGCCGTACCGGCGGGACCCCCGCGGCCCCGGGGCATCGCCCGCCCCGCCCCGGCTCCCTCTGCCCCCGCCAGCGCCTCGCCGCCCCAACTTTCCGGGTTCAAGGATCTGGAAGGAGGGGTGGGGGTGGAGGGGAAATAAATCCATGAGGGCTAATGGAGGGGTGGGGGATGTCTCGGGCGAGCGCCGAGTCCCGAAGGGCGTTGGCCACCTGTCCCCTCCCGCCGGGAAGGACCGGGAATGAGGCTCCGGGAGATGCCGGCGGGAGCAGCGGGGGAGGAGGAGGGATAGAAGAGGGAAACGGAGACGGGAGGGGGAACGGGCACGGGGGAGGAAGGGGACGCCCGGCTACGCTTCCCACCTCGAAGGGAAAGCGGGGAAGGAAGGAAGAGGGTCGCCCCGGTTCGGCGGGGTGAGGATAGGCGGTACCTGGCTGGCGGTGCCGCGGGAGCTCCCGGCACCCGCCGTGCCCGCCTTGCGTCCCCTTCCTTTCCTCTGGTTTCCCTTCCCGCTCCGCGTCCCTTCCCTTCCCGTCCCGGTGCGAAATGGCGGGGGACGGACAGGGCTGGGCGGGCGCTGCCCAGGGAGCCGAGCGCCGATGCACGGATGGACGGCCGCGATCGATGCGCTCTGSGCTCCACCGCCCCTTGCGGCAGCGCCGGCACCTCCCTCCGGCTGCGAGCGCGGGGCCGCGGGTTCGGGGCTGCACCCGGCCGTGTCCGGTCCCGGGATCCTCAGGATCAGGGAGACCGCGCGGGCTGCGGAGATGATTTAGGAATGGAGAATCTCKGCCAGGGAAAGGCTGATGGAGCTGGGGCTGTTCAGCCTCGAGAGGAGCCCCAGCTGAGAGGGGCCCTGAGCCCTGTGTGTCCCTGTGTGCAGGGAGGGCTCCSAGCAGGGCCCAGGCTCTGCTCCGGGGGGCCCAGCAATGGCCCCAGAGGGACGGGCAGGAACTGATGCCCAGGGGGTTCCACCTGGACAGGAGGAGGAACTTCTGCCCTGGGCAGTGACCGAGCACGGAACAGAGACCAGAGAGGGTGTGGAGTCTCCTCACTGGGGATATTCCAGAACTGTCTGGACACAATCCTGTGCCGTGTGCTCTGGGATAGCCCTTCTGGAGCAGGGAGGTGGGAGCAGGTGCCCCACTGAGGTCCCGTCCAGCCTGACCCATTCTGTGACCCCATGGGGCTGGAGGATGCGGGTTTGGGACTGGGGAGAAGCACAGAGGAGACGTTTGGGAAGTGTCCGTCCGGGAAGTGTGCTCTAGGGCGGGGAAGGGAAATGTGCACAATTCCAGCATTYCCTCACTGTTTCCTCCTTCCCTCACTGCCCATGGGGACCGTGGAGGGGAAGAGGTGCAAGAGCCACCATAAGGCTTGGGACAGGCTTGTCCTGAGGGGATGTGTGGGCTGCCTGGACAGGCAGTGCCTGGTTACACAAAAAGAACGATTTTACCGATCATGGAAATGCCAGCAGAGGATTTGTGGAACTGCTGCAACACTTACAAACCAAGGAAAGTTGGTCAGCTTTCAAAGTAAAATGCAMGGTTTGATTATTTTCTCTGAATAAAAGTTACCAAACACAGTGTGTAGCGTTCTTTGAAATGAGTTAACAGGTGCACAGTAAGCCATGTTTTCTTATTAAAAGGCCAAAACCATAATTCCTGTAACTGAAATATAGAATCTTAGAATGGCCTGGCTTGGAAGGGSCCTTAATCATCCAGTTCCACCCCCTGCCATGGGCAGGGACACCTTCCACTATCCCAGGTTCCTCCAARCCTTGTCCAACCTGGCCTTGAGCACTTCCAGGGATAGGAAACTCTTTATGATTCCTCTTTTGCTTCTACGGATTTGGGTGTTAGTAACCTTTTAATTTTTGTGTTAAAGGTTGTTTCCCAAGAGCCTCAATAAGAAAAACCCTCACAAAAACCCATGTGACAGAGTAACATGAGATCATCTCACAAATCAGAGTTATTARTTAGGCTGCCTCATATGAGCAGATGTGAAAACCAAAAGTCAGACTTGCTTTCAAAGAACTAGTAGCCTGGTGGTAAAACCACAAGCTTGGGATGTGGGAAGCCCTGAATCCACACAGCCACAGCTGGGATCAGGAAAGTATCCGGAGAGCAGCTGCTGTTGGCAGAACCTTCTCCATGAAAACTTCGGGTCCTGATGACAGCTTGTGCTGTCCTATCTCCATATGATCTCAACAAAATGTGCAAACAATTCTTTTGCATTTCATGAGGAGGGAAAACAAATTGTTAGGATTCTGAAAAAAAAAGCAGAATGCAAACATTTTTATTTTTTTTTGTGCACAGATTTGTTTATAAATATCTATTATGAAATTGCTTTTTGCTGTATTYGCATTTAATTTAGAACTATCTTCTYGTGCTCACRTGGTTGGAAAACAAGATCAAATAAATGATCAAAAACATTAAGTTCCAGCCCGTTCTCTGCATTGATATGAAAGCTGGTGATAGCACAAGTGATGCAAAACCTCTTAGATTCTGTGGAAGGTTTTTTCTGTAAGTTGACCAACTTCATTRTAGTGATTGTTTCTTCAGTGTGATTTGCACAGAGAATTCTGAACACGTACAGAGGTGATGCACACGCTCAAATCCCTGAACACTTCAGTGTGCTGCAGCTAAGTACTTAAGTTAAACCATATTTGTCACTTCAAAGGTTTCTTCACAATGGCATTAAAATATTGCAGTCCCAGCCTTCTGGGTCCTCCATGGATATGGRACATGGAAGGCAAATCACCAGTCACACTTCCTTACTCCAACAAGATKCCTCCCCTATGATATCAAGCACTAGGCCAAGTATAATCCCACATTTACACTACTCAGATTTGCCCGTTCCTAAACATGATACAATAAATTCAGTGACATTTTCATTTTGAGAATATAGGAGCATTCATCACCTGTCAGGAGTTGTGGGGGCTGGGGGGCAGGACATGTAAAATTCATCTCCAGTCTAGGGATAAATAGTAAGMTTTSCCTGTTAACAGAGAGTGTTGGACAAGCTGGGGCAAGAGTTCATTTTCCTGTGGCTTTTCCTGGCACTGAACTCTATGCAAAGCAGATGTAAAACCAATGAAGTGTTAGCAAGGAAGGTAAGTGGGTTTGTGCAGCTTCAGGTTTGCCTGTTGTGAATTAGGAATATTAGTAAAGGTAATTGTTTTTTAGATAGGCCAAAGGTGGTAGTGATACCTACATTGCCATACAGGCACCAGCACAGATTCAGTCCTGGCCGYGCCAGGATACTTCACTGGATTTAGCCAGAGGTCGTTTGGGATCTACCAGCCTTCAGGTTTTACCTTTGCCTCCTTCYCCCAGGAAAATTTAGACTTTTACGGAAGTTCTGCCAACTTCCTTCTGCTGCTCTCGTTGAGATCACCTACAGATTTTTCAAGTTCCATCTAGAGCAGTGCTTGCAGTGTGCTTGCAATTCTTTGTCTACTGACACAGCAGGATACAATTATATTCCCCAAGACTTTTAATTCACTAACTCTACTCAAGACAGGATCTACAAGACATTTATACGACAGTGTACCRTGAACTTAAATATGTAAATATTTGCATCCATAGATAAATATCTCTACATGTGCAATTTGGAATATGTAAGTTTATATTAAAATAAAGACAATGGTTCTCATGGGATGGTGACTTTTATGCCTTATCAAATTTCCTGTAGTGGTCTGGGGGGCTCCAGTAATTTTACATGGACGGATTGAAATGTAACATAGCTGAACTCACCAACAATAGGAACATAGCATGTATGGACTCACAATGAACATGAATGTGTTTTGCCCCATCATTGCAAATATTTTTCAAATTATCTGATGGACCCCAAGAAATCCACAAACCCTAAACCAAAAATTACATTTCAAACACTCAGCTTTATAAAGCACAAGTCTAGGTCCTGCTCCTTTGACTTCAGTGGCAACTTGGTTGGCCACTACCCACTTTAGGCACAAGAATAACATTAGGTCCTGCAAACCTGCCTTCCTTTTTTAGCTTGTAGGCACTAAAGGAAACATGGCTAATGTATTTCTCTGCAATAACATTAGATTTGGCTTGAAAATAACATGCTAAGATACATGATGTTTGGGAATGGTTTGACTTTTAGTTTAATTCAGCTGTCTCTGACTTTTTTAATATGGTTCTGTACTAAAAATGGGGTGGGGAGAAAGGAACAGTWCAACTGTGAACTATTCTTTACAAAACTGGATGCTGTTGCCATCCCACTAATGTCATCTGGCATTAATTAACATAGCATCTCTCTAATTATATTGTCATCATACAGCCACCAAATTAAAATACAAAGAGAATCATTAAAATTTCCCAATTTAACTTTGGCATTTCTTTTAAAGCACATTTTTTCAAGTTTTGTATATATAAGAAATCATAAAATGCCCACTGAAGTTAATGGGCTTTGTCCCAATAGGGCCCAAAAACGTTTGGAAAAATCAGTGGGGTGTCCAAATTGCCTCTCTAAACCAAGTGATTTGATGCTTCTTTTCTGTTGTTTGCACCAGCAGCTCAGCGCCCAAAACTGAGTGTGCAGCATGGACTGTCTTGTGGGGAGGAAAAGAAGGCATTAGGCACAGTGGAATTCCAATCCTGCTGCTCCCTAAAAGGTGCCAAAAAGTAGCACTAGGAAGAAGTACTTAGGTAAGTAGATCCCTCCTACCTGAGACGGAGCAGAAGCKCAGGAGGATTGCAGCATTACCTGCCTCCATCCCAGGTTTCTGTGTCATACCAGGGTGAGCTGCTCCCTGGTGCTCTCCTCATGAGTTTCGTGGCTCTTTTTYCCAGTGGCAAGTGCTGTGGAGGAGAACTGGTGCCTTAGGAGGGTGTGTGCTCTCAGGCAGGGCTGAGAGGCCTTGAACAATCCCTTTGGTCCATCCTGCCTCAAAGCACCCATCCTCTGTGGGTGAGAGGAATCCATGTATGAGGCCGATCCACACTGAGGGCAACCCCAAAGTAAAACACTCATTTGATTTTGCCTTTTGGCATAGCCTAAAGTCCACTCCTGCCCCCAGTGAGTGGCATTTCTGCCACTTATTTGTGCCTTACACATTAGCACTGTCTGCCCTTCAGCATCACTGGCCTCTGCACACATTATTAATATCTTTGGGATCTAGCTGCGTTCTACATCACCAAGAGCTTCACCTCTCTGGAGTTTGGAAAAACTATACATTGCCCTGAGATGATTAGAAACACATGGAAAAATATTAAAATGGTTCATAAAGAGAAAAAAAAAAAAAAAAGAGAGAAATATTTTCTTTCCGAAGAAGCTAGTCTTTTACTGCTGAAATTTTACTTCAGGAAAAAAAAAAAAAGGGAAGATGCTTGTCAGCACTTTGGAAACGACGTTCCTTTTTCCGCCTCAACAGTGCTCTGCCTATTTTGCCTAGACCTGTTAAGCTGAGCATGTTGCTACAGCTCAGGACAAGGCATGAAGAGCTAATATTTTTCAAAGAAATAAAAAATGTTCCAGCAGCAGTAGCAGCTCACATTTTTCTTGGACAGGATGCATTTCCACAAWTCCCCTGGGAAACCAGAAGCAGAATCTCAGG